AAGCAGATTATTTGTTTTTCAAAACCTAAGCAGTGGTTTTTTTTAACACTAGGGATGCTGGAATGCATGGGAAATGTTATTGCAATGATATAACGAATGCTTTGAAGCCCATTTCCACCTTTTTTTTTTTTACAGAGGTTTTTTTCTTAAAAAGAACTTATGCCAGCAATGTGCACCGAGTGTACATGAAACGGGCATATGCAGCTGCTGTGTTTTGAACCCACAAATGTATTTTTTTTGTTAGCTTTCCTCTTCATCTCATGTAAAAAATGTCTGCCTGTGTTTTGCAAGCTCTTTCTCACCTCTCCAATTCCTTAGTATTCAGAGTTGCAGCCCCGCTTCTTCCCCCGGCAGTGTATTGTGTGTGAGGGCAGGCCTTCTGTTTACTGATCATGTTACAATGAATAACAGGGATGGGGGGGAGCTGTTTAAAGCCTACTGTATCTTGCGGTCCATAAGACGCACCGAACCATAGGACGCGCCTTATGGAGCACTCAACAGACCGTAGCTTCCGTCACAGCTTCTATGACAGAAGCTGTGACAGAAGCTGCAGTTAGTGACCGCTGAGACAGGTGGCGCTGTGATTACAGCGCCACGGTCTCAGTGATCACACAGAGCAGACGAGGAAAGTCCGTTCTTCGTCTGCTCTATGGTGATCTCGATTGTCGACGCTGCTCGGTTTTAATACAAGTGATCTCATTAGATCACTCGTATTAAACGAGCAGTGGCTCCTACTACTCTCCCGGCGCCCGATACTGCATGTCTCGGGCGTCGGGACTCGCTCCATAAGACACAGGCACATTTTCCCCCTCCTTTTGGGGGGGAAAAAGTGCGTCTTATGGAGCAAAAATACGGTAATTACCATCTGACCCTGGTGTCTGACTGATTTTCCTGTGCAGAAAATTTAGGATATTTTAGGCTTAAAGCCTAATAAAAGGTTCATTTAAAAAAAACAAGGAAAGCCTGCAACGTGAGTCATGAAAATGTGCACACGTATACATCATCACGGCACCTCTTCATTACCACAATAAATGCTAATCACTTGCAAAGGTGGAAATGAACTTTAGGCCTTCCTTGAGACTATACCATGACATTATTGTGTTGCACTTTTTCCTAGACCCAGATGATGTTGTCAGAAGACAGGAAGCAGTGGCCGCAGCCAGGTTAAAGATGCAGGAGGCGCTAGACGCTCAGGCAGAAAGATATAAAGAAAAGCAGAAACTGGTGAGTGACATTCGCTTAAATCTGTGTGGTTTGCTCTGTAGACGTATCATCTTATGGCTGGAAATCCATGTTTTAGAGCTGGGAGCATGCAGTAAAAGCTGGGAGCTTTTAGTAGCTGGGAAGCTGAGAGCTTCTAATTAAAATGATGGTCTGCATTTTCCCGCAATATGCACACAAGTTGGTTGTGTTTTTTTTAAATTCTGAAATACAGTGCAAGCGCTGTACAGTCAGATTACAAGCACAGTAATGTGCATACTAGAACATCTCATGTTTGCTTTTGAATGACTGTTACAGATTAAGTCTTAGTATGAATGCCCAATTACCTGACTGCTTGGAACAGATCAGTTTCTCATACTGTCTTACTCTACTCTTTGCCAAGCCTTTCCTCTTACCGTAATTCTCCTGATGAGGTGGATATACTGGCAGGGCTGTTCACAAAAGATTACAATAATCACGCTGGCAAATAATAATCCCAATGTAAATACTGACAGCCAGGTTTTGGCAGCCTTTTCCTTCCTCGAAGCAGCCGGGACTGTGGGAATGCGAAGAGCAGAGATCTCTGTGCCAGACACAATACATCATATCACTGCATGAATCTTAGGAAGCAGCCAACATCAAGCATAGAACTTATGTAGGGGGAAATAAGAGGCCTTAGAACAGAGTCGAGAGGTATACCAGGTAAGTGAGGAAACAAAGACGGTAACCTGTCATAGAAATACTGAAAGTGTTGTCTCAGAGCCTAGACACAGGGCTTGGCGAACAAATTGCCTGGCAGCTAAGTGGCGTAAAAAATTGGGATTTGAACTGTTTGGGATATATTGAGTGCTTGATTTTTTGAATACTTGTTGTCTCCCTTCCTTTTTAGACCCTTTTAAGTGGTGGAAATGTAAAGTTGCCCATAGACCCAACAAATGTTATCCGATTCCTTTGAATTGGCCAAAATGTGAACTGTGTGGCCATGTTGGCTCCACCCGGCTCAACAAACTTCAATTGTAAAATCAAAGGAGTTGAGCAGAAAGTTGTCAGCCAAACAGTGACTGCATCCAGTGAGCTGCTGTCACTTTTCAGGTATTCAAGTCTTCCATGGCTGCTAGAATACAATAGCTGGCAGGGAAGATTCCCCACCCATGCTAAAATGAGTCTCCTCATCCCAAAGTAAATACTGTCAGCCATCTGGCAGCCTTTTCTCTTCCTCGAAGCAGCCGGGACTGTGGGAATGCGAAGAGCAGAGATCTGTGTGCCAGAGACAATACATCATATCGCTGCATGAATCATAGGAAGCAGCTGATCCTAGAACAAAGCCCATAGTGGTTCACTGTTATGTACTGTTAGAACATGTGTGATTGTTTGTAATGGTTGATGTAATGAAGCTAATGTAGAAGACTTTGCTCTTACGGTCCCAGTCTTCTCTTTGGCAAGCTTTTCCTCTTAACATAACTGCTCCCTGAGGAGGGGGATCTCCTGCAAGGGCTGTTCCTTAAAGATCACAATAATTCTGTTGGCATTGAGAAAAACTGTCTCCTCATCCCAAAATAAATACTGGCAGCCAGGTTCTGGCATCCTTTTCCCTTCCTCGAAGCAGCCGGGACTGTGAAGAGCAGAGATCTGTGTACCAGAGACAATACATCATATCCCTGCATGAACTGTTGGAAGTAACCGACACCAAGGCCCTGTTCAGAACAGGGCATAGCGGGAACGCACCTTGTGGTTACGCACGCTCCTGCACATTTTTCGGGACTTTGGTGCACAGACCCATTGGGTTCCTGGATGCACACCAAACGCAGGGAAGTAGTACATGTCGCAGATTTAGCAACATGCGTTCCTCTTATTCCTGTGTTCTCAAGCATGTGGAAAAACTGCAGGGAAAAACTGTGTTTGCTTGGCTGTGGTTGGGGTGCCGTATTCGAGTATATCATCACATATATCACATTTGGCTATGCAATATATGGGATGATATATTTGAATAAATCGACACTAAGATTTGAACGTAATCTTCTGAGTGCGGGTGATCCTCAGTTTCTACAGATTGATGTACACGGCGCCATCCATGTGCGTCACTACACGCACCACTATTGTTATTGGTCCTAGACGCTGCAAGGAGTGCAGGGGGGTATATCGGTATACTGTGCACATATCGAAGCGTGCATTTTTGTGTTCACGATATGCCCTGGTGTGAACGGGTCCCAATTATAGAACTATGTAGAAATAAGAGGCCTTAAAGTGACCATACACTTTACAACCCTCGCTAGACTTTTGTCTTGCGAGGGTTGTAAAGTAATTAAAAAAACGTACGATCTGCCCATCTTGGACAGGCAGATTGTACTTGCGATCATCGCAAGCCCACCCCCTGATAGGCGGGCTTCCGATGACTGCAATGCTGAACGGTTCGTACGATTCCCGGTGGGTTTTCAAGCCTGCTTGTTCGACGGAAGACGTGCGACCGTACAGTAGAAACGGTCGCACGCCTTCCATACACTTTGCGATTTATCGTACGATCGCAGGATTTTCCGCGATTCTCGTATGATAATCGTACAGTGTATGGGCACCTTTTTTAGATCAGAGTTCAGAGGTATACCAGGTAAGGAAAGAAAGAAGGTAACCTGTCATAGAAATACTGAAAGAGTTGTGAGAGGTCCAAGACAGTGGTGGAAATGTAAAGCTGCCCACAGACATCACATTCCATGCGATTTATGTGAATTGGCCGAAATCTGAGGTGTGGGTGGCCCTGTCCGCTCCACCTGGCTCAATAAACTTGAAACAAACCTTAGAAAATCGAAGGAGTTGAGTGAAACATTGTCGGCTGGACAGTGACTGCATCCAGTCAGCTGCAGTCACTTTTTTTAGGTACTCAAGTCTTCCATGGCTGCTAGAATAGAACAGCCGGCAGGGGAGATTTCTCCAATCGAGCAGAAAAAAATAAATGTGTACGGCCAGCTTAAGTATTGAATGGTTGTTTTTCAAGAGCAGCAGACCTATTGTAATATGAGCATTATTATGACACCAACCTAAACAAAAAAATTGTAGGTAAAAGTAAAGAACAATCAAGTATCTTGAATGCTTACATACAGTGTTTTAATTTCCATTAATGATTTTCCATTGACTTGCAATGTGCCTTTTGAACTTGTTAGAAAAATTGCCCAGTCAATTCCTTAGCACAGCCCCCTCCTTCCTTTCTTGATATAATCCTCTCCTCTTCTGGGAGTGTACTTACTGTCTGTCCTGGCCCAGCTCCTCACCTATTGACAAAGTCCGTGCTGTACGGACAAAATGTGTCAATGGAGGACGGCTTGCTACCTCTTCCCTGCCCCTCGCTGTCTGATATACCATGCTGAATGAATACCCCGATGTCTTCACGGTGAATGGACGCCTTCATACAGCTTGTTCCTCTTCAGCACCCAGGACAAGGTGTTTCTTTAGGCAGCCGATTGAGCATTGCAGCCTACGGGTGAAGTTAGACATGTGGTCTCTGTGCTTGGGATCTCTACAGTTCGGCATTAGCATGGATGTGACGGCTTCGGTTATTCTAGGATCCACATAGATTCTTTGCTATATGGCATGATTTCTGCAGAGTTCCATCAGACGTGCCCGTAAGTGAGATTACCAGATGTTAGACCTGCTTGTAATTCATCAGGAACTGTTTACAAGGAGTTAACCCTGAGTTTTACACTGGACTATTTATGGCCGGTTCATACCACATCCAGTGTGTTCCAGCATGGTTAGTGGTCAGCCTGTCAGCTGTTCCGTAGCAGAGACTTGGTTTATTTATGCCGTTTTATCTGCTACATTGTGTCTGCTTGTGTTCATAGATTGCTAGTGTTGATACAGCACGGCCTTGTGTAACAATGTTATGCTTTTAATTGTTGCTCTGGGTAGTTAAGGAGTATTATGGGAACATTGTGAACTTTGAATATACTATGTGCAATAAAGGTTGTTGTTGTTTTGTCATGATCCTAGTTCCCTTTTTTCTTTCTTGTTTTTCCCCTTGTTCCTACACGGGTAGATCATGAACTTTGTCCGTTGGCACATGGATGGATGTACGTTTACAAATGATCACTGGATCTCCATTTTTATTTCTCTTTATCTGATCCGCTCCTCCCTTCGCCCACAATTTATTATTTTCTGTAGCAACTGGGGGAGGAGGGAAGGGCAATACTATAAAATGTCACTTACATGACTTAAGTCTGCCGGGGCTGCTGACATCATATCCAAGATTGCAACACCCATCAGCAGCCTTGGCGCTTTTGGATGCCTATACAAGGGAGGCTTTTACAGGTAAATACGTAACATCCATAAAACATGTTGATTGCAAATATCCTATTGGAAATGTTGTTGAAATGAGTGGTCTGGTGACTAGTCCCCTTAAAGAACAACTCTGCAAGAAGGTGTAGAGGTTTGACAGTTCATGCGTAACTTTATTTTAACAGAACCTATTCATACAATAATTGTGCATTTAAAAAAACCTACTACATGCTTAATTTCTTGTTCCGGAGCACACACATCTCGCTCTCCACTATCCATATCACCAGTAAGCTGTGCACTCCGGAGCACACACATCTCGCTCTCCACTATCCATATCGCCAGCGAGCTGTGTACTCCGGAGCACACACATCTCGCTCTCCACTATCCATATCACCAGCGAGCTATGTACTCCGGAGCACACACAGCTCGCTCTCCACTATCCATATCACCAGTAAGCTGTGCACTCCGGAGCACACACATCTCGCTCTCCACTATTCATATCACCAGTGAGCTGTGCACTCGAGCACACACATCTCGCTCTCCACTATCCATATCTCGCTCTCCACTATCCATATCACCAGCAAGCTGTGTACTCCGGAGCACACACATCTCGCTATCCATATCACCAGCAAGCTGTGTACTCTGGAGCACACACATCTCGCTTTCCACTATCCATACAGCAGTGAGATTTTTAGTCGCGCACACAACTCGCCTCACAGTGCCCATGCCACCAGTGACATGTCTCATTCGTCTGTTGCTTTCAGGACCACATGCATGCCTGTGTATTACACATTTTGTAAATGTATTGGACCTTATGTTAGCCCACACACCTTTTTTAGATTTGGTGTGGCAGTTCTTAGACTTTACAAAATTGCCAAGCTCTGACCTTCATCTAAATTCTAATCCAATATATACACACACATACATATTCATTGGGATGCCCACAATCTTTAAATCTATCATCAAGGAAACAACAAGGTCACTGTAGAGTTTAGGCCTGGATATACTGCGCCAATTGTGTATATTCAGAAGGCCTTCTGTAAGAGTTCAGTCAACTTGTCTTAGGGGTTTGGTTACATGTTCAACCACTATTCCTCTATGTTAATGGGCAATTGCTTATTCATTACAAGGTGTTTTTGTTTTTTTAATTTCAAGAGCTTCATTTCACTGCAAACATTGTTATTGCTAGCTTGATATCCCAGCCAGGGAAAATAACGTTTTTCAGGAGAGGTCAGCAGTGGCAGTCTGTTTCTTTCATGACGGATTTCCCTTTTAAAGCTGTGTTTCTTAAACTGCGGGGTGGGGCCCATTTTGGGTTGCAGACATGGGTTCCCACTTGACTTTTGTCCAAACACAAAATCAGCAGATCACTGGCAAGTGATAGCACACCAGCTATGATTGACAGCACTCGTATGAGGAGCTAGAGTGCTTCAAAGTGGAGGGGGGAGACAAGTGCCCAGACAAGAGTAGGAAATGGGGAGACATTGCACTAGTTGGAAATGTCTATCACTTAAAAAAAAAAGTAAATAAAGATATTTTTCTTGGCTTTACTAAAGCTTACAGAAATGGAGAAGAGTTACTACAATGGGGGACTTTATCAAAACTGGAGCAACTATGGCTCACATTTCAACAGATTTAGCAGGAATCGGCCACAATTCACACTGCCCCTGCCCAGCCTAAACCTGTAGTAATTTCCTGTAATGAGAATAGTTGCCCATTATTCTCATTATGGATTGGTTGGTTGGATCCCCTAGCGCTCTCCTTCACGCTGGGAGGAGGGCACAGTAATCAGTGGGCTGGTGCAGCCTGCTATTGGCTATTGCACCAGCCCACTACCTGCTGTATTTACATTCAGCTGCCATCTGCAGAATCTTGCCACTGGCAGCTGATGTTCCCGGGCTGAAGCAATTCAAGCGCCATTTGCTTACTATACAATTATCTTAAACTATAAAAGGTGGGAAAAAAAGTAATTCTCGGTTTTCGGCCTGACAAATTCTGCTGCGGGAGGTGCGTTGCAGTGCAATTCATTTCAATGGCACTGGAACGCATGGTAACGCACTGCTGTGCATTCTAGTGCAGTGCGATTGCAAACCATTGTGCATGCAATTTTATTCTGAAGTAAACTTTGTAACACTGCATTTGTGTATTTTATTTTAAGGATGGTATTTTTATTTTTTTGCCGATTTTAATCAAAAAAATAATTGGGCAGCTAATCAATTTATGAAAATAATCATTAGTTGCAGCCCTAAATATGTTAACTAGTAATTGTGGATTCAGAATTGTAGCTACACGCTGATCAGTCTGGGCTTATCAGAAAAGTCCCTGAGATAGGAGACATCTTTCTGTCTCCCACAAGGGTGTCCAGACAAGTGTATAGCTTTATCAGCGAAGACTGACACAATAACTAGGAGACGGTCCATGATTAAATTCCAGGTTTAACTACGTCATCTTCACCTAAAGACTTAAACGTCTCATTTAGGGTAAGGGACTTTGTAATCTGGTTTAGGGAAATGCATGAAGAGTGAAATTAAAGTATAGCTGGCGATACACTGTGGGAATTTCACTCAGTGGGCTCCTCCAAGTCCCACACTGTTTAGCAAGGTTGGAGAAATCTGTTCGGTTTTTTTTGTTCACCCACAAGCTGAGCGACAACAAAAGTGTATGGCCGGCTTAAAGAGCAACTTTACCCATATCTTCAAAATAACAACAAAGGCACCTATTAGAAATGTTTAGTAATGACAATCTACAAATACATACTTCTAAATAATTGACAGCTTTTTATTCTCTGCATACCTTATTTTGCTTTTTCTCCCTATTCTTCTCACAGTGGCCATTTTAGCTAAGGGCAGATTAATATATATCCCCTTTACTTCCTGGAACTCTGGCACATGTGACTAGGACATGTGACCATACACATCACCTCAGGGAAGGAAAATGTCTTCCCCTGAGATCTCACAAGATTATAGATGAGATTTCCCAGCAATACTCTGCTGATTAACCTTACCGGGATGCAACGCTTGAGCACAATTGCATCATGTTTGCCAAAGCAAAGTGGGGAGGAAGAAAAAAAAGAAATTGTAAGTGAAAGAAAAATATGAAATCATCTGACGTTCATTAGTTAAACATATGAGCATGCCACTGTGATATTTAGTCAAGAGTACGGCTGGGTTCACACCTAGACGTATAGAATATGCGCTTTTGTCGCAGTAAAAAAACGCGCAACATTTCCGAGGGCTACCTGGCTGTATCCCAATGGAAACGCGCAACAAAAACGCCCCAAAGAAGCTCCTGTACTTTGGGCGTAGGACGTTTTGTAGCGCCTTCATACGGCCTGTAATACGCCCAGGTGTGAACCATGCCCATAGGAAATTAATGGGATTTCGGGGTTTGAGCGTTTTGCAGAGCGTAGGAACGCGCTACAAAACGCCCAGGTGTGAACCGGGCCTTAGGCCTTGTTCACACCAAATGCAGAGCAGATCCGGTCAGGTTTCTGCACACGCACGCTAGTCTTTCAGATCCGTTTTTTACGCTTTTTTGGCTAAAAAAAAATATATAATTTTTTACGTTTAAAATGGGCTTTCAGTGTGTTCCAGGCATTTGCATGCATTTTTGATGTGTTTGCAGATCCAGAGCAGGTAAAATAGGGCCTGTCGCAGTTTTTTCACCTGCTCTGGAACTGCACGCTGCGATGTGAACTGGAGCTAAAAATACCATTGGAATACATTGGATGCAGTTTTGATCCGGTCTGCAACTGATCTGCTCCGCACCTGCTCTGCGCTTGGTGTGAACAAGGCCTAAAGGTCCACTTTGTATGTGCAGATTAAACTCAAGGCTACCAGTGGTAGTTGTATATAATTTATTATAGGTTCTATTATAGGTTCAGGGAACCGAGTTCACACAAAGCACAGCCCTCATCTTTACAGCGAGTGAGAGATATGGTAAAGCTAGCCATAAACAGTTCTATTTTTTTATTTTTTATTGACCTTAAGCTCGCAGGTTGAGCATAACAAATAGAACTGATTCCTCCATCCACGCTAAACGGGGATGGAGGAATACCTGCTGTTTCTATTGTATTTGACTGTGGTCAGTAGCCGTGGTCACAATACCCGAACAGTGCTTGCAGCTTATTGGCAACAAACACTGGCTAAAGATTTTCCAGCCTGCTCGTTTGATCTTCTGATTGAGGAATGCCAGGCGGAAGGGTGCCGACAGCGGCACCTACTGCGAATTTCACCCTGTTCTTCAAAAACCAACCTAAATTTGCATGGTAATGGGCTGGTAGTATAGTATAATTGCTTTTTCTGCTCTAATTATTAAGAAACATTTATCTTATTTGTGTATCACTCGGCTGTAGATCTCAAATCATCTCTGAATTGGTGCTGACACTGTCCTTCCTTCTGGAGGGTGGCTACTTTTGTTCCCCATGGTCCCTGTGTGTGTTGCAAAGTAGCCACCGCTCCAAGCTCACTCCCGTGATGGACTACAATCTCAATACAAATTAGTAATCTAAACATGAGATTGTAGTCCATCACGGGAGTGAGCTTGGAGCTGTGGCTACTTTACAACACACACACAGGGATCATGGGGAAGAAAAGTAGCCACCCTCCAGAAGGGAGGACAGTGTCAGCACCAATTCAGAGATGATTTGATGATCTACAGCCGAGTGATACACAAATAAGATACATTTTTGTTAATAGTTGGGGTGCTTGAATTTATTTTTAAGATTTAACTCCTGAGTTTAGTGTCACTTTAATTTTGGTGAAGCTGATCTTGCAGCAGTCTGCTTGAGACGATTTTTGTTTCAGTTCTGCATTTTGTCACTGAATCATTTCTAGTCAATCCTGTACAATTCTGTATGCCTGTGTAAAATGTCTGGAAAAAAAAAAAAACTATTTCTATAACACTAGGTGATTTGATCTGACACTTTTCTTTCAGTAAGGTAATTTGGCAGAACTAATGTTGATGTGATATCATTATACACGTTGAGCTGATTCATACGGCAGTATGAAAAGGTTCATTTAGTAATTGTATTGTTCTTTCAGATTAGCATGGAGACAGTCACACGTTTGCATTAATTAAGATGTCTGCACCCTTGCAGCTGTACATACGTTGTGACAGTATTGTTCTTTTATCAGCCTTATCAGACTCTGAAAGGCTCCCTGCTGTGGTCTTGCTTTGTAGCTGGAGAACACGCAAATACCCCCCAAACACACTCCCCAGACAAGAATACAGTCCATTTTTATTGCCGACCAAAATAAAGACATCTGCATAAACTTCAATAGATGACCGTCAGGAGCTGATATCAGTAGATAACATTGGGATTTTTTTTTAGCATTGTTAAATGCATTGGTTGGCCTCGAGCTGACCTACACACCGGTGTTTTTTTATTCATATATATATATTTATATTTATTTTTTTCAGGGAAGT